TTATTATACATTATATATATATATATATATATATATACTATTTTGAAATAAGTTCTTAACATATTTTTCCTAAAACATAGAACATTAAATAAAGAAGTAAAGCAAACAATTATCTCTTCAAGTTATGACCTATGCCCATGGTTGCTGCTTGATGTAGGTTGCTAAGCCTTTAAAAATTTTGCAAGTGGATGATATGAAACAAAATAATTTTTTAGGTTGTATATATTTGAATGACTAAAAAAATTATAAATTACTATATCAGTACCATAGAAATCCATTATAATTTATCAATCTTAGTAACTAAGATGTATTTTAGTCTATAAAAATATGAAATTTTGAGCAAACTAAAGACATACCTTACCTCCTTGAAATATTGGTTCAAAAGAAAGAATTTGGCATCCAAGCCCATTAAAATGGCTGGGAAAGCCACTAGGAGAACATTCCAATCTTCCAATTGGTTATTCATGTCATATGTAGAAGTAATTGTATATAAAGGAGCATTTCCAAAAATGGAAAGAGCTGGATGGGGCGCCACTGTGTTTGATTTATTACATGTGCAATATCTTAGCAAATAGAAAAGACATTCTTATTATATATTTTAGCTCATCAATATCGGTAATTTGAATTTCTAATTTGTACGAGACTACAGACTTAGTATTTTGACTTCACAAACACCTAATTTGAGCCAGTGCTGCATTCATCATACCACGTCACACACAAAAATCGATGTTTATCAGTGTTTTTTTAATATTTACTTTTAAATTAAGAAATTGAGTAATGTATATTACTAAAATTTGAGCTATAATCTACAGTTTGATACCAAACTTATTGACATAAATTCATGAAACAGTAGTTCAATAAAATTTTGAATGCAAGTCAACAAACGAGATGACATGGTCTTTCACCCATGACCCGTCTCAAAAGGGTTAAAAGTAGGATGTTTCAAGTACAAAATATTTATTAATAAGAATTATTTCATACACCTATTTAAATATCACAAGATAGTTATTTCAATCCTTTCTTTGTAAGTTATACACGATAAATACAAAATTACATTTAGTGTTGGCATAATACCATCAAATAAAAAAATGGCACATGTGGTTTCTGCATGATAATAACTGAAAATACACAGAAAAGAATAAAATCACTACAAGACATAAAAACAAATCTGAGATTCCAGAAGTCCTAACCATAGTTCCATAAACTGTCATTAACCTTCTTTTATTAAAAAACAAATACTAGTGCATCATTTTTTATTATATTATTTCAATAGCTTTGATTTGTAATAAGTTAAAATTCTGGTGTTAATAATCAAAAAATATTTAACATTATATACACATGTGTATATATATATAACAGCCTCCCATGCTAGATATTACACCTGTAAGTTTCTCAAACCTCAAGAACTCTGTGTATGACATTAATGGTCAGCAACTCTGAGAACACAGGCACAAGGGAGTAGCATCAGTAGTGTATAGTAGTAGTGCAAGTGTATCACCAATTTTAAAAACTATGTGTCCTAAACTACCAATATTTTTGTGTCTGTTCCCAAAACTGTTCTAATGCCTAACTACAACGTTAGTATATATATCCCCTACACAAACTACAATTACAAAAGTTCACTTCAGGTTATTACTACTCGTGCATGTGTTTTGCATTATCATCATTAGTTGAGGTAGCAGTCTACCTAAAAGTTTGGCCAATGAGAAAGCTTCTTATCACTCATGAACATTTACTTAACCCTTTCACAACAGGTACCCCTTTATAAACACTTTTCTGCACAAGTCACTGTGTTACATTCAAAATTTAATTAAACATCTTTACTATCAATTTATATGAATTAAATTAGCATTATAATGTATGTTATAATTAAAAGTTTTATGTTATCTAAGTTTTAAGTCCTTTATTTCAAAAGAATCCTTTAAAAAACTACTTAGAACTTCAGATTTATTGTCATATTGGCACTCTGTATCTTCAATAATACAGTGGCAGTTATGAAGATGAATGTCTAGACTATAAGATACTTACATAACCTATTGACTCGTATATTTCAAAGTTCTCTGAATAAATGCATTGGAAACAAGTAATAAATGTTTTTAACCACAGAGAGGTGACATGCCCACCTTTAACATATTTGTTTGAGCTTTATAGCCTATATGTAGAGGTTACATATACATGTGTATAGTCACTAGAAAGAGCTCATTTAACACTATAATCTGACAAATGTAATTTTCAAATTGACACACAGTTTTCATCACAGAGTATGTGTAACTGACTGTAGTATTGTTGACTTCTTGATCAAGATTAGCTTTTATGGTTGTTTCTTACTCAAATATGTTATAGTGAGAGATACAGTTTAAATTGTATTTAGGTCTTACTTTATATTTTAGTTAATTATGTATTATTTATGTTTTAAAATGCATAATTGAAAGGTTTAAACATTTTGAAAATGTACTCATCCTTTGGGTCAGTTCTCAAGGCTTAGGATATTACGCAATGCACGAACATTTTGCCGAATGGTTGCACAAGTCTACCAGAGACACTGTAATATGTCACAAGGGCACTGTTGACTTGTGTTGAGATGAATAATAAGGGGTAAAGGACAAGAAAGGAAAATAAAACATTAAAAATGAACTATATGTGAAAAGGAAAAGAACTGAAATTATGAATTCAACCAAAGGAAAATCTTTAAAGATATACTACAAAAAATTAAAAGGTATGTTTTTTCTATTTTCTAATTTTCATCATTTCATTGCATGTTGATGATAATGTTCAATATACATAAAAATTTATTCACCTAAAAAGACTGAAGTTATAACATTTAGATTTCATTTTTGAGAAACTTATATATACTTACTCATTTAGTAACTTCTTGTACAGAACCAAAGGAAATGGAAGATCAATGATAGTGTAGTTGTATATGGCTAAGCCACAAACAAGACCAATCAAGAAGAACATGACTTCTTCCTCAAATATCTGAAATAGAATATATTTTAATGCTTGTTGCAAACAAAAATGTTAACTGATTTTTTTAGAACACTTGAACTTATTTAGAGGTTCAAATAAATATTTAGAAACACAATCTGTACCTTATCAATTAAAATACATAAATGCAAAAATATAAAATATCAGCTGCTGTATGTCCCAAATTTTGTGACTAGTTTTTAATCTGAGAACAGTTGAACTTGTTTAGAGGTTCAAATAAACATTTAGAAACACAATCTGTATCTTATCAATTAAAATACATAAATGCAAAAATATAAACTATCAGCTGTTGTATGTCCCAAATTTTGTGACTAGTTTGTAATCTGAGGTCATGGGAATTTAGTTTGAGGTGGTAATATATAAGAAATGTTCTCATCTAAATTAATTTTCCCTCTTACAAGCTTATGAATAATTTACTCTGTAGTTTCTTGTAACACATCCTGTTACATTTAGTAATATACAGTATATTATAAAAACAGCAAAAGCAAGTCATAAATTTTCATTTGGATATCTAGTTCAAAAAAGCCCAACTATATTTCTAGTTTATTCTTATTCATTCAAGGATACGGAAACGTGCAGTTTGTTTATTACATGGGAAGTAAAAATCCATAAAGTCATGAGCTTTTGATATAACTGACATTACAATGGTACAATATTTCATTATTCAAAGAATAACTTTAAATAGTGAGTGCAAAAAAAATATTATATGTGCACACACACACACAAACACATACATGTCAGTATAAATATACATACACACACACATCTATCTATTCATATATATTGGAAATATATGAAGACAATGATATCTTCACAAAATTAACCTTCATGCTTGGTCTCAATTCACAAAACAAATTGCTAAATTATTATTAGTTACAAAATATAGAGATATACAAGCATTTAGTAATTTTTGAAAGTCTTGACTTAAGTTTTGTACGAAAATAACAGAACAGTTGAAATACTTTTTACCTGATCTTTGTGTTGTATAAAAACTAACACAGACATGCTACAATAAAAACAGCCTAAAGATGAGTTTGTTGTAATTTTCTAGGAAAATGTTTCATTTTGTAATCCTAAAAACACATTTCTTGGCTGAAAAGCAAACAAATATCTATAATCAAATATTCATGATGTTAGGAAAACACACAGGTTCTAAAAATCAATTTAACACAAAAATACAAAACCCTATAAATCAAGCATTTTTGAAAAATGGACCTTTCTTCATTAAGTGCAGACAGAAAGATCCATCTTTCAAAAGCACTCAGGTTATAGGTTTTGTATTTTTGTGCATAATTAAATATTATCCTTTACCTAAAAACAACATGAGAACATAAGTTTAAACATCACTAACCATAATGGTACAAATGCACTACAAGTTGTGAAACTATAATGTGAAAATGCTAATCATAATTAAAGTTAATCAAAATCACTGTTAACCACATGTGCACAGATGGGTTGGTTAAAGTGTGCATGCTCAGAACTTTTACAGAGTGCCATCCAACATGGTATAAGATATTTGATATTGGAGTTATCAACATTTCATGTCACCCTACAATGCTGACTTTACAACAACTTGTGTTAGAGCAGAAGAAGTACCAGATATAATATACGAAGATACTCACAAAAATTTTAGATGTGCATTTAGGAGGTTGTATAGCTTATGCACATGCAATTTGCAAAGTATATGATGGTAAAAGTTTTTCATCCCTCAAATGAAAATCTCCTTGCACTTAAACTTGTCAAGAATCTAAGTCAGACTGACTTTGGTCTTTCACACACATATCTTTAGTACAAAAACTTTATTAATACATTTGATTTTTGTGTACAACAGACATGTACTGTTGACTAAAAACTTGCCACCTTTCACAGATACATATTGTAAATTTGGAATTATAGTCTATAGTACTTCCCTAGCATGGGATCAATTATTTAGTTATTATTTAGTCAATTAGTTTATTTAGTTATTATTTAGTCAATTTGTTAATTATTCTTCCTTAATTTTTTTTATGGTTTTTCGTATAAACAGGGATACTGACACAAATTACCAACCAACAAACCCTTGTAACTTTGTTCTAATACATGACATTATGTGCCTTCAACATTTCAATGTACAAGAATTCTTACTTATTTTTGCAAGCAGTCTTGAATTTCCTTACATATTTTAGTGTTTACTACAATGTACAACAAAACTAATCACTACTTAATATCAGTTCACGTGTTTTGTACTTGGAAAACTCACCTGTGTGTTAAACCATATACAATTAGTTTCTGGGTATTCCTTAAACATCCCATATTTAAGGTCTAGTATCTCTCTTAGTAAAAGCATGAAGAACTCCTGTACATAATATTACAAAAAATATGAATCAAAAAGCATTTACATCAATAGAACCAAAACATCATTACACATGAAATAAAAATATTTCTTTGTATATTTTTCTTTCAAAAAATAAAGAATAATAAATATTCTTCCTTCATATAGTTTAAACTAGTATTTCTAGTTTAAAAATGTTTTGTAAATATACAATGAAAAGTGCCTAGGAAGCCACATTTGTGCCCAAATTATCAGTAGTTTATAATATACATTAAGTTAAAAGGTACCTATTGAAAAAAATACATGTAAAGAATAGTTATTTTAATATATACTTCTCTTTACTTAGAAAACAGAAGCATCATGTTAGAAAATATCAGCAAGCACTAAATCCTGAATACATAATTATCACTTTAGTGCAGACAGAATTGCTTAAACAAATACTTCTTAAGAATATTTGTTATTAATCCTCTAAACTGACTTTAGTTACATTTAATAACTTTTTTACAATCAAATTGATAGTATTTAAAAAATAAATTAAGAATTTAATACTTTATTATTGAAAAGATCTCTAGAATAACTATCAGTATCACATGTTGTTACTTTGCAGCTTATGTACATTCTCAAGAAGATCTAAATTAAAAAACAAAATATATGTTTCACAAAAGCTTCTTGACAATATTCTTAATTTGAAAACTTCCTCTGGATGAAAGACAACACAACATATTCAGGTCCTGATATTAAACAATCTCTCACAAACCATGATTTTTCTGCACTCTTTTTTGAAATCATTTGGTAAAGTAATATTTATCGAAGTTTTAGATCTAAAAACCTTACCTTCCGTACTCCACCAGCATCAACAGCTTCTTCACCAGAAAAAACCACCTGCAAGCAAAAGTATATGAATGTTATGTTTAAGAACAGATGAAATAATATGCTGTTGCATAAAAATAAATACTAATATGAGCACATATTTAGTAAAAAAAAACTGCACTGTAAATCTCATCTTATAATATCTATATTGAATACTGTTTTAAATTATATAAAAATTGGGAGGGGGGTATCACATATTGCTGTTGCAAATTATGTTAGTACATTCCAGCTTAGGAATAACTAATGATTTGGCAAATGTGTCTGATAAACTGTTTCATTCTCCTAAAATTATAAAATTGATCTGTGATTATTTTCTGCTTCACAACCTTGGGCTCACAGCTAAATCCTTTCACAAAGTCAACATTCTGGAACAGCCACTGTATTCCTTCAATTCAGTTCACATGCTGTAGTATGGCAACTTTTCCCTCATTTGGGTTTTCAAATATAAACAGCAAGAAAGTGCAACATTTTTGGAAGAAGGAAAAGGAAACAAAACAGTATACATTGACAACAATGAAATCATTTTAAAAGAATGGCTCTCTGAATTTTTGTGCCTCCACCATCCACAAGCTGTCTAATTGATCTGTGATTGTCTGTTGTTTCACAACCTGTATATATACATAATTCATGTAGTTACCTCACTTTGCGAGGTAAACATTCTGAAATCCCCTCTACCTCTCCCATCAATTCACATGCTTCAGCTGTTTGCAGCCCAGAAATTTTGTTCTCATCTGAGTTTTCATATCTCTACAGCAAGAAAGTATACAATCTTCAGTGACAGAAAAAGGAAAAAGAACAGTCTATATTAACGATGATTAAAGTATTTCAAGAGAGATGGTTGCTTCAACAAGATGACTTGACTGTAGCAATGAACTGCAGAGTTTATCATGAATGAAGTAAACATACAAATTTTGTACTTTGTACAAGTTAGGAAACGGATAAATTATCATTTTTTTATACTGAAAATATATTTCCGATAGGCACTTACCTCTTCTCACATAAACAGCTATTCTTGTTCAACTGCGTCTTACATGTAAATCATCATGCAACAACCCTCCACTGACTGGAGTGTGATGCACTCTCTCTACCAAACTATCACTTCAAGGTTTGGCAGAATATGGAAGCATCTGTTTTCAGTGGAGAGGAAGAATGGGAAGTGCAAGAGTAGGTAAGTACCTATTGGAAATACATTTTCAGTATAGGAAAATTATAAATTCCAATACAGTACATTAGCTCTTCTCACACAACTAGCTAGAATCCCACAATGAATAAGTAGAGGAAGAAAGAAGCATCCTTCAAAAGTGTCCGAAGAACACCCTAAAAGATAGGATTTTCGCATCAGAGGATCATACGTGGGAGACTGCACCACTTCTGTACCAGGTATACTCTACACCCAGTGTGGAAAGAGGTGATGCAGCCATAGGCAGAAAAAGGGTGGAGTACATCCAAAAGGGAAAAAATAATGGTTAGATAGGGATCCAAACCACTCAATATCTGAATATCGATCCTACAGATGACAGTAATGTGGGTGAGAGTAAAAAGGATGTGCCCCATGATGTAGAGTTGCTAGGGCACGAAGGACTGCAAATGGCGAGTCAACTGCATCCAAAAACCCAGCCACCAGGAACCGACATTCATGTGGGGGTAAGATGAGAATCATAACATCAGGAAGTCAACTACAATCCAAAACCCAGCCACCAGGAACTGACATCCATGTTGGGATAGGAAAGAGGATCATACCAGCGACAACTACAATCCAAAATACAGCCACCTGATGGGGGAAGGAAAGAGGATCATACTGTCTTCAACTCAAGTTCAGCAGACTGTTGCCTCACCAAAGGGGCCCTACATAAGTCTCAAAGTTAAGTTGGTGGTAAATGAACTTGGGACAATATAGTGTCCATCCCCAGCAGATCCCAACAACGAAGAAACCATGTGTGTGAGGAAAGGGCTGAAGAATGTGCCAACGTGGAAGTAAGCAAGGAAAGGCTATCCCTGGAAAAACACTCAGGATCTCGATAGAGCAGCTTGGAAAGGAGGTAGATGGTAGACAACTACCATAGGAAAATTAGGTATGGGATAAACAAACAGGATAATCATGGTCCACCCCCCACATGGGCAAAATCAATTCCAACTGTTGAGAATCAAGAAACTGACATTCAGCCTGATAGTAGGCTAAAGCAAACTGGTCCGAAGCCCATGGAGGGTGAGGCATGCTAGCACCATCAACCATTTGAGAAACAAAATACTCTGCATGAACCCAAACTCCGACTGATTTTGTCTATGATTGGCTCTGCACAACATGAATTAGCGAAATGGCTTTCAGAAATTTTAGAACAGGTGTTAATGTACGTTTCGGAAAACTGTATTCAAGACTTCTTTTCTTTTGCTACAACCACACAGAACCTTAACCCTAATCAATCGTTTTTGTGCTCCTTCGATATCAGCAGCTTTTTTTAATAATGTACCCCTGAAAGAAACCATCAAAATTTGTGCAGATACTTTGTTCAGTGCCCTCTAATACCTAAAGACCTGTTTATTGAACTGATGAATACTGCGACACATTCGGTGGAATTCAGCTTTAATGATATCATGTACCAACAGATTGATGGAGTCACCATGTATTCTCCTCTTGGACCTGCATTAGCCAATATTTTTGTTGGTTTCCATGAAAAAGAACTATTTAACAAAGTTACCAGACCTGTTGTTTACTTCCGCTATGTAGACAACATTTGCCATTTTTAAAACTGAGTAGGAATGTGAGTGTTTCTTACAAAACCTAAACTCGTTGCACTCGGCTCTCAAATTTACTTTTGAAAAGGAACAACATAACTCTTTACCGTTCCTAGACGTTTTAGTTGAAAAAGATGACTTTTATTTCTCTCCAGTATATACAGAAAAACCTACTTTTACAGGACAATACACGCAATGGGATTCTTTCAGTCCCAAAAGTCGCAAAATGAACCTTATTGCTACTACCATCGGGCTTCAGTTATCTGTTCAAAATATAAACTAGATTTCGATTTGAAGACAATTAAAACTATTTTACTAGAAAATGGGTATCCAGAAAATGTCATCAATCAAATTACTTCAAGGAAAATTGCGAGCTTCTCAACTGATCCAAAATTTGGTCCTAACAAGTGCCCTGTTTACCCAAAACTACCATGGATTGGTAGCATTTCAACAAAATTTGAAAAACAATTGAAAACGGATATTACTAAATATTTTCCTGCAGTGAACCCCTACTTTGCTTATTCCACATGTAAGTTGTTGTCTGCAACACACAATGATGTGATACCTACCACACAGAAAAGTAAGGTTATTTATGAATTCTCATGCAACTGCGAATGTTGGTAAATAGGTCGCACCTCACAAAGATTGCAGGATACAATTAAACAACATGTTCCCACATCCATAAGAACTAAGAGTGTGAAACTAAAGAATTTACCATGTCACTCCTGTAAAACAAAAGTTCTACTATCAAAATGTGAATCAGCGTTTGGCCAGCATTTACTGGTGAACCCGACTTGTGCTGCTAACTACATGGATAGCATGTTTCAAATTATTGCAAATGTTCGGTCAACCTTTCATCTCTCTATTTTGGAAGTCATCTTTATTAAAACACATAAACCTATCCTTTACCACCAAAAAGAATTCCTATACAATCTACACATCCTTCAGTAGGTCTGTGACATTTCCTGATTGGCTAAAGTGATTGCCTTACTGGCCTACGTTGATCTGACTCATTTTATAAGCTGTACTATTTCCTATAGATCATTTTCCAGACAGTTCTGCTATGATTAGTATCCGGCAAAAAGCTTCAGCAGATATTTCTTTTGCAACATCTCAACCAACAATTGGTCCATTTATCAACACTATTTTCAAGTTTTGAACAACTCGACTGTCATGATCTATGTATCTACATGTGCCGATGTTTTCCATTTATGAACATTATATTTTAAGATCTGTGCAAGAACTCAGCTAACAGATGTTTCCATATAACAAAGCTATCTTCAAGTAAATCAAACAATTATCTCTTATAGTTTTCATGTAAAGTAAACAATTATCTCTTCTAGTTTTCAAGTAAAGCAAACAATTATCTCTTCAAGTTACAAACTTTGTATGCAGTTGCTGATTAACGTAGGTTGCTAAGCCTTTAAAAATTCTGTACGTGGAGGATATGAAACCAAATAATTATTTTAGGTTTTATATAAACATTTGAAGAACTAAAAATCACAAATTACTACATCAATACCATAGAAATCCATTATAATTTATCAAGCTAAGTAACTAAGATGTATTTTAGTCTACAAAAATATGAAATTTTGAGCAGACTAAAGACATACCTTACCTCCTTGAAATATTGGTTCAAAAGAAAGAA